TATTTAGTGTCTTATATGTTAAAATATGATTTTTGGAGAAAATCCCACGTTAAAATAATTAAAAACGGGCTTAAAACGGAGTTGTGGTCGAAAACCGGGTGAAAAAGAGGGATTTTCGGAGTTCTGGGCGAGGTCTCGGCCTCAGCAGCCAAGAACCGAAGTAACTAGTGCGGATCCGGGGGAAAGAAGCTGCGGTCCGAGGGGAGTCCTGATGCTGTGCGTGGTTGCGGCTCGCTCGGGGTTGCGGCTCGTCTGCTGTGCCTCGCCTGCTGCGGCTCGTCTGCTGCGACTCGCCTGCTGCGGCTCGCCTACTGCGGCTCGCATGCTGCGGTTCTGGTGCAAGAGGGTCCGGCCTGTAAGAGGATTCGGCCCTAGGGGGAGGTTCCGGATCCTTTTGGGTATTTTACCCATTCTAACCTCGTTTTAAGCTATTTTTGACTGGGTTAAGGGTCGGAATGACCCGAATGACTTCAAAAAGTTACGAGAACTTTTGAGAGAGATTTGGGAGAGATTTCAAATGGAAAGAGTTATGGTGAAAACGATTGAGAGAGGTTTCGTGTGTGACCTTTTTGAGTGTCCAACTTCAAAATGCAAGGTCCGTAAACCCCATTAAGCCATGTTTTAGTATCCTACACACTCCCGATGAGTGTGTAATAGTGTTTTATCGCTTTGGTTCAATGTTTAGCATTATCAAGGCCATGGAAATTCAAATGTACGAATTTTCCAATGATGTTTTCTCATTAAAATAGTGAGTTGTTTACTAATTACACAATGTCAACCCTAATATATAAGGGCTAATTGAGTCGTCCGGTTTGACTTGTTGACTTTGACTTGACCCGAAATTGACTATTGTCACACATGTGATCTATGGTTTTTATGAAATGAAATAACTTGATGATGTTTTTCTATAAATTGTTTTATGAATCATTATATTAAAGATGAAATTTTGGCCTTAAATTTTGGGATGTTACAATTTGGTATTGTATTGGTGTGTAGAATCAATAAACAATACCCTTTTGCTTGCTTTTGACTTGGAAATTCGCAAACTAAAGAGCTTCACTTTATGAATGCTTTTAGTCCATGAAATCTAATTTTAGTTAAGTCTTAATGTAAAAATAATAACTCATATCATGTATTATGAATTTGGTTGGGTGCGAGTGTTTAAAAGGAGAATACTCCCCAGTTTAGGGTTATGTATGTGTTTGGTGTGTGTAAACCTAATAATATTTTTGGAGTAATTCATACCCCAATACACGTATGAAAAATATATAAATTGTGTGGTTTAACACTTATATAATCATATAAGATAAGGTGTGTGTACAACATAATAATAAAATAAGGTTTCTAAAGTAAAAGTATAAATAAAGTACATTATGTGTATCATTTATAAATAATCTAAGTATATTTTTATAGGGTGTAGGTGTTCGGATATGGAGTTCATCTTAGCCACTCCAATGGTTTGATTATGTGTTTGCTGCCTCAGGTGAGTTCTCATGAACTTCCTTATTATGTGGACTATGTGATTATGTTATGTATGACCACGAATAGCCTCTCGAAGGGAAGTGTGGTTGACATCATCGGTTCAAATAGAGAATAACCTCTTATAAGGAAGTTCTAGTTGTAGTGTGGTATAATACCCTGAAAAGCCTCTTAAGTGATAGGAGTGGTTATGGAGTGGACAATTGGAGAAAAGCCTCTCCTAAAGGAAATCAAGTTGTTTTGATTTGGATGGTCATGTATAGATGGTCATGGGATGGAAAACTAGAGAATAACCTCTGAAGTGAGGGAATTTTTTGTTGTACCATCTTGATTACAGGAGTATGCTAGCATACACACTGTGTTTATTTATATTTGATAAAATTTAAGTAATATGAGACTTATTACTTGAAGTTTATGTGTTATTAATTGTATTGTATATGAGTTTTATAATAGGTGAGTGTTGTGATTACTCACTAATCCTTAGGCTTATCGTTGCAACTTTATGTTTTATGGAAGGTCTGTCAGATTAGTGGAAAGGTAGGAGCCGACATGATTTTGACATCTGGACATTCTCAAGGGCATGACATATATCCAACATTTATCAACTTAATGAGATGATTTTATAAACAATACATATGCTTCTGCAAGACGATGGTAATGTATTTAATATGATAATGTAATGAGACATGTTTGATTTCAAGAATTGGTTTTGATATATCCAATAAGGTTTTACATTTCAAAAGGATTTATAATCTTATTTAAAACAATATATATGGTTGGATTTTGGGATGTTAGAGGAACTCCAAGATAAGCAATATATCGACCATACGAGCCAACCCAAATTTGTTAATCTCAAAACCGTTGCTTTTATAAAGTTTACATTTAATCTTGAGGAGAGACAAGACGAATGCAAAAAGATGATTCTTTTGAGCTTGATGAAACTTATAGAGGGCCTTTCGATGACAAACATCACGTTGTTGCGTACATGAGGTAAGAAATAACAAGACCATTATTTGGAAAATTGATGCCAAAAACCAAATGTTTTTCTAATACCGACTTCATGATCATGTATAAATCTTCCATTGCAATAATGGAAAATAAAAAAGATAATAAATCTATTTGTCTAATTTCTTTTTGACATGTCAAAGTATTTTATAAGATACTTATTTAGAACGTAGGATGTAATTACACCTTATCACTCACTTTTACTATGTTACGTCAGATTTTCACTAACTCATATTTCATTCACCAAAAGTCTGGAAATGACCACCTTTCACTTTTATTTTTTAAAAATAAAAATAATCTAATTTTTATTTTATAATTCAAAAAATAAATAGATCTAATTAAAAATGATTAATAACCCCAAAAATTAATTAAAATATAAATACTTCATTACTTGAGATAAAAGGTACATTAAAGGCAACCAAGATTTTAAAAATAAAACGAAACAATCTATGAGAAATATTTTTTATGATTTTCTCACTCGTCTTCAAAACTATAGCTCGAGGACCTATCTTCAAAACTCGCACCCCCTTTTTATGGACAAGTTTTTCTTTGTCGAATGTCAAACGCTCAACAAAATCTATATTGTATCAATCAAATGTCTCTGTCATTTTGCACATTTCGTCTACTTCACTGATGAAATCTAATGCATTGGAAGGAGACCCTTCCCTTTCCTTTTTCCTTTGTCCCTACCCATCGGTCGGACAATTTCTTCTAACTTGAACTCGTCGTCATCATTCAAATCTTGTCCGACACGAGCATCGGAAGAAGTTGTGTATCCATCAGGGAGGGGGTACCACACTCTCCGACCTTTCACCTTACCCTACACCCAGGGTGTAGTGGTCTTAGGTGCGGTTCCCTTCCTTTTGCTTCTTTCCCGCTACACTTTGTCCGGTCTTCTAAAGATAAATGCACGCCCAGGTTTTAAAATACCACTAACCCAAACCCTCCATTTAGACCCAAAGTCCATTTGAAGCATTACGAAACCAAAAACAATCTCATGACAATGAATCAAAAATCTTATTTAGATCAACTTTACACATTATCATTCTTTTCTCTGGTTTTGTGTGGCCCAAGAACATATTTCATTTATTAAGAACAGACCGTCTAAAATACTATTTTGTTATTCTACATAAGCCATTTGTTCGTGACTAACTAAAAATGTTATCACTTTTTAAGATAAATCAATAGAAGTTGTATGAGTACTTTGGTGAAACCATGATTGTTAAAATCGCGATCCGGATCGTAGGATCGTACCATCTCACCTACATAAATCGATCCCGATCTTACATGGATCATTTTCGGTAGGATCATAAGATCGGGTTGTAAGATCGTAGGATCATTAATATATATATATATATATATATATATATATATATATATATATATATATATATATATATATATATATATATATCAAATATTTTTTTGGACGAACTACATTGAATACCCTTTTGAATTCTTTATCGTTAAATAATGTATTATGATTTAAAGTATTTATTTTTAACATGGTTAATTGATTTATGAATATATATTTTTATGTTTTAAAATGCTTTTAGTAGGATCTTACGATCACGATCTTGTAAAACGAAAAAAGATTATATATAAAATCCAGATCTTAACTACCTTGGGTGAAACATCCAAGAGAGAAAGTAGATCTCAGATTTTAGGGATTAAAGAAATGAGGGATGCATTGCAGCCTCTCAAGGTAATAAAGTATTACCGATGGACTCAAAATGTTTAAGAGTTTTAATAAGATTGTCTTGCAATACATCCCAAAAATCCTTTACAAAATTTAAATATGAACCAATCTCTCGATGCTTTTTAAGCATTCTTGATTTAATTTTGTATTATGATATTGATATTTCATAATTGTAAATGGGTTTTAGATATTTTTCGTGGAATATTACTTATTAAGGTCATATGTGACTGTCTTGCAATACATCCCAATAATGATCATATGTGAATATTTATAATAAGTTCGTTATCTAGATGTATAAAAAATAATAATAATTACACAGATGTAAACAAACCTGAAAATTAATTATCTTAATAATTTATATTTTCCTATTTTTCGCTTATAAATGTGTGACAAGTATAACTTTTAAAGATACCAGGGGACCTATAATCAATCAACGTACCACAAATCTATGATACATTATTAAAATAACATGCTGGGATATAAACAAACTCCACAATTAGTGGTTGCATTTTAAAGTGTCGTTAAATTCATTAAAGTTACCAAACAATATCCATTACTAATACTACTTTATTAAATTTCAAAAAGATAACATTTTCCCTTCAAATTGCATCAAATGAATCCAAATTGGCTGCGTTGGAGACTTGGAGCATTGACATGTCAAACCAAATGAGTTCCCTTGTTTTGATCATCCCGACGACGGCGGCGAAGAGAAGAGATCCCTTTCACCAAACCACCAACCGATCCAAATCATAAGAACCAAACAATCAATAATCTATAACTTTCCTATCTATCCACAACCGTTTTCGAAGCTTTATCTATGATCTTGATCCAACCCCGTGTTCTTCTACTGCTGCTTCTCCTCGCCGGAGCAGCAGGAACCACTGTTTCTGCCGCCGACGATGGTTTCTCCTTCCTGTTCGACGATTCACAGCTTGATGGTGTACGAGAGATCCAGTCAGATGGCCGAGTGGTTCACACCAACGACACCGAGATGTTCGGTGTCGGTCACACCTTCTACTCTCGCCCTTTCCGGTTCAAAAACTCGACTACCGGCGACGCTTTCTCGTTCTCCACATCTTTCGTTTTTGGAATTATACCGGAAAATTCTCTTTTCACGTTCCACGGCATGACTTTTGCGATTGCTCCGTCGAAAGAAGTGATTGAGGCATCCTCTTCGCAGCATCTCGGACTCTTTAACCGGACCAACGACGGAAACGCCTCAAATCACGTCGTCGCCATCGAACTCGACACTTTTAGAAACCTCGAACTTGGCGACATGGACGGCAACCATGTGGGTCTTGATATAAACAGTATAGTATCGGTTTTAGCTGCAACAGCAGGGTATTACGAAAATGGAGTTTTTCAAAACCTAACTCTTGCTAGTTCGCGAGAAATACGAGCTTGGATCGATTACGATGGTGTCAAGAAAACCATAGATGTCACACTAGCTCCTCTTCCCCTAAAAAAACCTGAAAAACCTCTCGTATCTTGGAAGAAAGATTTATCTCCTTTTTTACTCGAAGAAATGTACGTCGGATTCACTTCAGCGACTGGGGTTCTTCTTCAGAGGTTTTACGTCGTCGGTTGGAGTTTTCAGATGAATGGCGAAGCTCAAGAAATCGATATATCGAAGGTCCCACGCTTACCTCTCAAGAAAAAATCAACTAAAAAGAAGACAATGGGTTTAGCAATTGGGTTATCTTTAGGTGGATTACTGGTTCTTTCATTAATTTCACTTGTGGCGTTCGTTTTGTTCCGAAGAAGAAAACGTAAATTCGCAGAAGTTCTTGAAAGTTGGGAGGTTCAATACGGACCTCACAGGTTTTCCTACAAAGATCTTTACACCGCCACAAAAGGGTTTAAAGAAAGTGAGCTCCTCGGAAAAGGTGGTTTTGGTCAGGTCTACAAAGGGACATTGCCGGACATAGGAGCTCAGGTCGCCGTGAAGAAGATCTGGCATGAATCCGGCCAAGGAATGAAGGAATTTGTGGCTGAGATAGCCACCATAGGGCGGTTGCGACACCCAAATTTGGTAAGACTTCTTGGGTATTGTCGACGAAAAGGCGAATTGTTTCTTGTATATGATTATATGCCGAATACTAGTTTAGATAACTTCATTTTCAATTCGAATCCCGAATCCACTTTAACATGGAAACAAAGGGTTAAAATCATTATCGATGTAGCCGAAGCTTTAGCTTATTTGCATGAAGAATGGTGTGAAGTTATAATCCATCGGGATATCAAAGCAAGCAATGTGTTACTAGACGCCGAATTGAACGGAAAATTAGGCGATTTTGGGCTCGCGAGATTCGGCAACAACAATGGAACCGATGCAAAAACGACTCATTTAGCCGGGACTTTAGGGTACATAGCACCTGAATTGGCCCGAAAAGGAAAAGCCACCACCGCAACCGACATTTTTGCTTTCGGAGCGTTTTGTTTGGAGGTTGTTTGTGGGCGGCGGCCGGTGGAGTTGCAGGGGCGGCAAGAGGCGGTGATTCTGGTCGATTACGTGTTGGATTGTTGGTTTAAGGAGACACTCTCGCAAGCGGTTGACCCGAAACTGAAGGACGATTTGGATGTTGAGGAAATGGATTTGGTTTTGAAGGTGGGGTTGCTTTGTTCGCACTCCGTTCCGGCGGTGAGGCCGAGCATGTCGCAAGTTTTGAAATTTCTTACCGGAAAAGAGCCATTGCCGGAGGATTTCGATACTGTGTTGGAGATAAGAGATGACTACTCAGGTCGACTTGGTGAAGCCTCTACGAGTGCTTACTTTTCTCAAATACAGTACTCAACGGCGTCGGCGCCGATCACTGAGTCGTTCATGTCCTCCGGCCGGTGATGTGCATGAACAAGTATGTAAAATGTATTTTATTAATTTATTTATTTTGTCACCATTGGTATTGTTGATGGTAAATATAAAATTGCATTGAGGGCCAAGTGTGTTGGGATAAAGCCAAAAGTAAAGGTGGGTGGTGACATGGTGGGGGGTGGGATTTAGTTGAAAAAGGAAGTGATAGGAGTGTAGACTTTGATGTCTACTTGTCCTTTTTTGAATAGGCGCATTGGTATGGAAAATTGGAAATCATGTTGTAAAATGAAAACGTATTTAGGTTTGTTTAAGAATGAAAAGTACGCAGAAACATGGTTGTTTCTAATTCAAGAAAAAACCATGGAACTCACAAGATTGACAAATGCATGACGTTTTTGCAAAAACCTATAGGTTGACAATGTTAAATTATGGATATCCGAAGTTCTGGATAATAGGATAAGCTATCGGTATCCGAAATTTCAAATATTGATTCGGATTGCAACTTGAATATCCGAAAATTTTATATTTTTCATTATTAACCAAATAAATTTAAGACACAATTAGTACAAAATATACTACAATACTGATCAACATAAACACTTTAAAATTTTGAATACCAAATAAATAGTGATTATCTTAAATGATTTACGAAGCATTCTTCCTTTTTATTGTAAAACAGGTATTTTGTGGTTGCTTAGTAAAAATATTCTTATATGTAACAATATATTATTCAAAAAAATTTATAAACAGAAATTAGCTTGTTAATGTCAAATAACAAAATAATAAAAAAGTTTTTTTTTTGAAGGTATCATTTGTTAATTTTATTCTTAGTAAAGTTTAGTACTAAATAATTATATCGGACTTTTGGTTCTAAATGATTTACACAAGAATAGAGAACTTGGGGACATAAATCGCATAAATGGAGTCCATATAAAATCTAGTTAGAGAAGGGTTATAAACAATTAAATTGATCTCTACTACAAATTATAGTGGTGTATAAATATATAAAATATTAAATTTTAAAAAATATTTCTTTTCGGATGTTCAGATAATTTCATTTCATATTTTTAGATTTTCCGGACGTAAATATTTCTGAACATCCCTACTGGCAGGGGTGTCGAGGGTGCCGTCTCACATACCTCAAATTGGATTTTATTAGGAGAAAGTGTTATATAAAAATCTAATTTGAAATTATTAGTTTTGAAGTTTGTGATATGTCCAAACGAGAATAAGATGGACAAAGATATCAAAACCAATAACCACTTGCCTATATATTAGAGAAGAACTAATGCTTAACGAGCTAACTTTGTTTAATTTAATTTTCTAACCTTAATTAGACTTTGGAATAAATCTTTCGGACTTTGAAGTTTGGACTAGGTCCTAAGGGTTTTATAATGTTTTTCAAAAAGTTGCATATATATATATATATATATATATATATATATATATATATATATATATATATATATATATATATATATATATATATATATATATATATATATATATATATATATATATATATATATATAAAGGGAGAGAGAGAAAAAGAGAGTTAGGTTAATGTGAGACGATCTAATTTTATGAGACCGTGAGACGCAATCCTAGCCATTCATTTGGTAGATAAAACAAAAAACATTTTTAAAATGCAAAATAATTGAAAATTTTCGAAAAAAAGTCCAAATATTATTTTTGGAATTTATATTTTTCAAAAAAAAAATACCAAAAAAATATAATTTTTTTTTAAAAAATACACTTTTTACATATTATAGTAGAATAAATAGAATATTCTACATATCTGAGAAATGTAGTATAATAATCTAACATTCTAAAAATCACATTAAAATATTTACAGTGTAATATTCTGTTAGAATATTTCACATATTTTTCAAAAAAACGTTAATTTTTTATATATATAAGTTTTTTTTTGGAATTTTCCTTTTATTTTGCATTTTAAAATTATTTTTAGATTTCGTTTGACGGTCTCACAAAATTCGCATGGTCTCAAATGAACCTGAACATATATATATATATATATATATATATATATATATATATATATATATATATATATATATATATAATATATATAAAGTTCACACTAAAATATTGATGGATAGCGGAGGCATCCCTCCCTGGCGTACCAGTTGTGACAACCCGAAATTTTCATTCTGTACAAACAATATCACTTCAATAGAAGTTATAGCAGTCAAAGTTGATTTTCGGACTTTTTGCGTAAGTTTGAGTAAATCAGGGTTTTCACTTCAGGAAATATCAGGAGAGTGGGTGCACTAGGGTTTTGTGCAACACTGTTATTCCATCACTCTAGGACATTAGAGTTCATTCCAGGAATAAAAATATTTTCTGCCAAGATATTTCAAGACTATAAATAGTTTTCTGAACCAAATTTATTCATTATTCACATTTCCAACTAGAGAAAAGCCATTTTCTCTCTGACGGATCTTCGGGTTTTTATACCAAAACGTGAGTAACTCTTTATAGTAATGTTAGAAAGCTTTATATGTGTTTATAACATGATTTAGAAGGCTAAATCATGAGATCTAGGAGTTTACACCCCAAGGTGTTCTTGGGCGGTAAACTCCCGAAACGAAGCCAAAACCGACCCTTGCGTTATGATAAAGCCTTAGACTCATATGTATACATGTTAGGGACAAGAAAACAACCAAAATCCACCCAAGTTTGGGAGTTTACGGCCCTAGATTATCATAGGCCGTAAACTCCAAATTCAAACCCTAAATGGTACTCTTAAGGCTCCTAAAGGCTTAGACAATTACCTAGACTTGTTCCCATTAAATCTAAGACATTAAACACATCAAAGAACACAAACAAAGGAGAGTTTACGGCCCAAGTGTATCTTAGGTCGTAAACTCCATTTAAATGGACAAAAGGGTGTTTTAATGACACCTAAAGCCCTAAGCCTTTACAAAGAATTGTTTCACACTTAATGGAAGGACCAAACCACATCAAAATCACTTAACCAAGTGATTTTACGGCCAAGACATGGTTCTTGGGCCGTAAACTCCTAAAAAGGGCACTAAGGTGTGCCTAATGCCTTCACATGTTAGGAATCAAAGTCTAGAACATATCCCACAAGTGCAAGAGGCTTGAAAGCAACAATAACCCACATTTCTTAGAGTTTACGACCGTAAACTCTAAGGGGAATGGCCTTGAGGCCGTAAACTCCTAATTGGAGTACTTCTAGACCTTAAACCCTTCCAAGGACTTAACCACTAAGTTAGAACAATTCTAGAAAGCATTTGGGACTTCAAAACACACCAAACACACATGTTTGGGAGTTTACGGCCGTAAACTCAAGAGTTTACAACCGTAAACTCCATGTGTGTGGTTTATAGAGAGTAAACTCTCACATAGGGTCCTTTGGAAACCCTAAACACAAATACCCTGTCCCACAATAGCTTAGATGCAATCCTTATGGCTTAAAACACTTATATAAAGTGTTTATTATGCCTAGGATGTCTTAAACATTATCAATTAGTCATTTGTGTCTAATTGAGTGCATATATGTGTGATTATATGTTCATTAGGATCGTAGTGTGTTCACAAGTCCTCGCTTGACACCTAGCAATCCTATACCGTTCATTTCATTCCAATCACCAACTACAGGTGAGTTCATACCCCTAATCAATGTTTTAAATGATTTTAAATGCTTTAAAGGGGGGAATACAAGTAGAAACAAACATGTTATTAAATCATTGTTATGTATTTTATAACTGTGTTTGTCATTTAACAGATTTCACATACTACAAAATGTGATGCATGAAATGGTTTTAAATCTTAAAAACGCATTGTTATCAATTGTTTTACCTTTGAAATGTATATCAAAAATGACATCAAGTCATTGTTAATTATTGTTTCAAAACCCATAAGATGTCTTATAAAACCATTTTACATTATTAAACTAAACTATGCATGTACACTTATGTTCTTATATATGTATTGATGTTATAGTTTACAGTTTTCATTTAGTTTCTCACACCCTTGAGTAGTAAGAGTGTATAAACCTACTTGAACAACCAATTACCTTCCAACAAACTATCATAGGGATAATACGGAGATATCAAACATAATTCCTATTACAAGGAATCACACAAGAGTCAGTTCATTCATGAGTCTATACCAGTACATTACCTGATACATGAGTACCTTTACATTTGATTACATGATACATGCGTACATTTACATATACTTACATGATACATGAATACTGTTACTTAGATACATTATCCTGTACTCACTTACGTGGATACTTGTACCTAGAGTTATTAGGAAGATTTATTCGTACCTTCTGTGTAAATTTTCCTGCCTATCCCAGTTCAATGGGATGTCTATACGGGACTAACCATTCCGGAACCCAGCTGTTAGCAACACTGGGTGATGAACATCTACGGATGTCTAAGGTTGTTTCTGATATTAGAGGTCAGTTACGGAACTAACCATTCCTCCATCTCCTGTTGCAACAGAGGATGAGATGAAACTCTTCGGACGATCATTAGGTTAACGTTTTTATGGGATTAACCCCCCTCCACCCTGCTGCTGCTACAGAGGGTGAGTGGACAATCTTCGGATGTTCATCGGGTATACCTTTCGCTTCGGCGATGTCGTGATAATCCTGGTCACCCAGGGTTAACACTTACATGATTATATTTTTCCTATTTACTTTATTTTGTGATACTTTCACATAAACGAGGAGTTAGACTAAGTACTCTAGTACTAGTCAATAGAAAGGAAAAGCTATCATATTACTTACAAAACATTCGGGTCTTGGTAGAAGACTACCTAGTCATTACAAAACATTCGGGTCTTGGTAGAAGGCTACATAGTAATAACATAACATTAGGGTCTTGGTAAAAGACTATCATATCATTTCCCGTTTACTTTATTTTGTGATTCTTTCACATAAACGATGAGTTAGACTAAGTACTTTAGTACTAAACAATAGAAAGGAAAACTATCATTTTACTTACAAAACATTCGGGTCTTGGTAGAAG